TTTTTTTTTTTTTTTTTTTTTTTTTGGTCGAGGATTAGCACTTCTGGAGTTGTGTATTTTGAGCTACTAAATTTGATGGATGGTAGTTGATCATTTAGATGAACTCATTAAGCTGCATGTGAACAATGATCTTTATCTACGATTACCTTATGGTTGTGTTATTGTGTTACTTTTATTGAGTGAAATCGGGTCTGTGTCACCCGATGGGTACCCGTCACCCACACGGGTGCCGGGTCTGGGGGAAATCTAGACCCGAGACGGGTGATGGGGGTGGGTGACGGGGGTATTTTTCCTAATGGGGGCGGGTGACGGGGGGGTCCCCCCAGCGGGTTTCTCACCCATTGCCATCCCTAATCATAGATCAACATCATAGATCAAGAAAACAGGGAAGGACTATAAGCTGGATTCTTGTAAGTTTCTATGTGCAATTTAATTTATGCAAAAGATCTATATTCTATGAATTGATAGAATTACATGTTTAGGGTTTATTCAATTCCGCCTGATAGTTATGAGTATGCCCGTTCAATTTCTTACATTTGACACTCGAATATGATCGTTTACAATTAATGTTATTATTTATGGTCATCGTTGTTATTATATACAATTTTAAAAAAGTTTATAAATTTAATAAAAAAGGAATGCGAATATAATAAACAAATAGTATTTATTTTTTTCTCCAACGTATGCTAACTAATGTGGTATTGATGTTGCACTTTGTTGTAACGTTCAACGCTTTTAATTATATGAAAATTGTCTTATTTTTTTATGAAAAATATTTATTTTTTCAAGGTTGGACATAATTTAATAATTTGTTTATTTACTATTGATATTTTTTTATTGAAAGTGAATTTTTGAACTTGATTTGTTTCTTCAAGTTGTGTAGTTTTTCGATTTTCAAAATTTTTTTAATTTTTAAAGAGCAAATAATTTATTAATTTAACATAAAGTAAAATTGAAAAGGTTTAGGATAATTAATATCAGAGTCGGGTTTTTAATTATCTTAAAACATAACGACCATGGCCCGACGGCTAACTTTGTTGAGCATATTAAAAAATAAAGGAAAAATGGCACACAGAGAAATATATTGAAAAAGGTTAAGAAATGTGAAGGAATGTGTATGTAATATCCTACATCGTCAGTGTTTTACACATAATGTTAAGAAAAACATATAGACCTTGTTTTCATTAAGGAGAAATTTTTATTTTGAGTTTCAAATAATTATTAAACGATTATATTATTACTAGTATTTGATCATGTGCATTTGTACAGATATAAAACATGTTTTTGTTTGTATTATTAATTAGACATGTACTTCTATCATATAAAAATTATTACTTTTTCTTAAATTATTTTTATCATTCAAAATTAATTGAGATTTAAATTTTATTTTAACCATGCAACGTTTAGATTAGTAACATGAATAAAATAATTTATATATTTTTAGTATATATTAAGAAAATTAACATAAATAAAAAAAATTATTTGTGTTTCTGATTTTTAGAAAAAAAAAAATATGTGCCAATCATATTCTTCTTCCAACAAATGTAACCAAATATATCGGTTACAGCTCTGAATGTAAGTTCCAACATTAGCCGTTACACATTTGAATATTTTGCTACCAAATTTAGAATTAATTTAGTAACTGATCCAAAAAATAAATAATAAAAATGTATATATTAAGGTGTAACGGTTTTAGCAGATTAATGAGTAATTAATTAAAAAAATGTAACTCCTTTTGGAGGGAAATGAAAATAGATTTTATTAAATGTTTTATTAAATGCATGAGCTAGTAATTATATATACTAGTTATACCCTGTGCATTTGCACGAAAAGTGATATAATAAAAGAGAAAGTAAATTATAGAATAAAATAAAAATCATAACTATAAATGAGATAAAAAAAATAATTTGAAAAAGTGAATCTAAATATTATTAAACCGCTTTTTTATATACAACATTCGTGGTTTTCCTATCGTCAGAATCCTCATCACAACAAATCATTATAGTTAAACCCTTCGACTCGTGACTCTGGGATTTGATTTTTCAAAATATTTTATATATCTTTGTAATATCTAAAAAAATATTTTTTTTATTATTGTATGACTGCAATAGAAAATAAAGGTATTTGTAGTCATTCTTAATTAGTTGTGAATTATGTATTTGTATAATACCATAAAATATATAGTATCAAAATAAAAACAAAAATATTTTGTATTTCAGGACATAATAAAGCGTTATAGAAATGATCACTTTCCAAAATGGGACCTGTCAAAATAAATTGTGTAACTGAAAGTTGCATATTTTTATTAAATGGTGAACATATTTTTATTAAATGAACACCTATTTTTATTAAATGAACTCATATTATTATTAATTGTTGGCTGAATAAAATTTATTGAAGCTTGCCAGCAATTATATATATATATATATATATATATATATATATATATATAAAGTAA